TTATCCTAATAAATAAATTAACCAACTTCCCTTTGTAAAATCTTAAGAACTCAAATGGTATAAAGGAGGTTAAAAACTTTGCTTCCTAAAAAAATCACTCAAAATTTTTCAATATCTTAAAAACAGTGAAATAAGCAATAAATAACATAAAAGAATACAAAAAACAAAAAAATTCTTAAAAGCTAAGTATAATTAATGATATTTTATCTTATATTTTCAAAAGAAAAAATTACAATGAAATAAGCTATATCCCTTAATACAAATATTAATTATCCTAATAAAAATATTAACCAACTTTCTGCTGAAGAAAAAAAATCATGCAAAACTTTTCAATACCTTACAATTAGTGAAATAATCAAAAAATAACATGAAAGCAACTCAAAAAACAAAAAATTCCACGCAGAATTTTACTCTGCAGAACAACTTTATCAAAAAAAAGTATTATATATATAATAAAAAAGACAATAATAGAAGAAATATACCAATCTCTTAAAAATAGTGACATAAGAAATATGATGAAAAATTGTTGCCAAACCCATATTTCTAAAAGAATGAAACTATTCAAAATGTAAAAAATAATTATAAAATTAAAAATGCGATTTCATCAAAAATATATCAACAACAATAAGACAGGAAAATTGTTGCCAAATCACATTTTTAAAGATGTGAGATGTGAGAAGTGTACTCGGAAGCTTCATTTAAAAATACGAAATATTATCATTTTTCCAAAATTCTTTTTGTAAAAGCAGTCGCAAGGATGAAAGTTTAACGTGTCCAAAAATCAAAGAAAAATAAACTGTACATTTTTAAAAATAAATTTTTTTAGAAAAAATCCTGTTGAAAAGGTATTACACCTTTTCAACGGGTACCTTTCACCATTTCAATGCAAAAATCACAAGTATCCAACTACGTTCTAATCGTCAATTTTGTAGAAATTTTTCAAAAAAAATTTTATTACTTTAATTTAAAGCTTATATTTTTAGGTTTCAAAAACTATTTTTGTTTTGTCTCTCTGGTGATTAGAAGTAGAGTTATGGCTGTTTTTGTTCTACACCATGAACCGAAAATTGCTGTTTAAAAGGCCGGAAGTTGATGTTTAAATGGCCGGAAGTTGATGTTTAAGGGACACAGACTGCTCTAAACGAGAATATTTCATTTGAATACTGTTGGCAATATTCAAAAGATGATTTTGAAATATATGTATTATTATTATGTGCATGGAAGCAAGATCACTTTCGAAATTTCAGTATCATATTTGGCAACATTTCCATTTGTGTTTACATTCTGATTTGATTACACTCTTATTTACTAATTCAGAAGTCAAACAACAAAAATCAGCGTAAATTTGGAAAATTTTTGCAAATTTACGCTGATTTTTGTTGTTTGACTTCTGAATTAGTATTTATTCGGCGTGTTATTGTGTCTTAATTACACTCTTATTTAGCGTGCTTGCTAATAATTTCCATGACAACATTCAGTATTATTTTTTATCTCATTCTGCTTTGTTATTTTAACATTGTGATAAAAATATTTTCACTTAATTATTGTAAACGTCGTAATGGGTCGGTGCAGAACTTTTCTCGTTCTAAAAAACGGCGATTTGCTGGAAACAGATATACTGTGAAAGCTTCTACCAGTGAATCGAAACTAGGAAACAATAGAACATTTTCTGAAAATTATAATGAAGCTAACAATGAAGCTGGTAATAGAATATTCGATGTTGAAATTCTAAAATCTGTATTTTCTGCATTATCTTATCCAGTGTGTTTCGAAACTCAAAACAATAATGAGAGTTTTAATAATGTATCATACCAAAACAAGTGTTTGTTGAGTTGACAACATTGTGTTTTTGTTTCTATATAAGAGTAATACAGTTAAATAACGGATTTTTGGGTATGTTAAAAATATTGGGAAACTTAATATGAAACATGGACAATATACTGTCAAGGGATATAACTGTATTGATAAAACTTGGTTTGTCGTTTCAAAACGGCATTCTTTACATTTCGCAAAAATCACAAGAAAAGAATTAAGAGCTTCTTTAAAGAAAACATCTACAATAGTTAACAGATGGTGTAATATACAAAACAGGGCAGTTTTAGCAATGTAATATATCAATTTCTAATATATTTTCTAAAGATAAAACTTTAAATTTGTTTTTTGAAGAACTTGATTTCGTCAACTTTTCTAATACGAAAAACACCGTAACTTAAAATATTACTATAGCAATTAATTTTATGATACTTCCCACAAATATTCTATAGAATATCGGGAATTAAATGGACTAAAAGTTTAGGTTTATATACATATTTAAGATTTTTGCAGACAATTTTGTAAATGAAGAGAAAAAAATTTCTCGAAAAATAGCTAGTGTATGTACTCAAACAGGTATATGTAATAGACATTTTGCTTTATGACTTAGATTTTAGGCCATTTTATTCCTTATGCTTTAATAAATATAAGTGAAAAAAGTAAAAGTAAAATATTGATAAATAATTTTTAGGGAACTAATCTCATAATACTGAAATTTGAATACATTTTTTATCCAAAATGTGACAAAAAGTAAAAATTAAATTTTAATAATATGTTTATAAACTGTTTCTATCATTTTAGGTAGCATTCTGCTAATTAACACCAAAAATGAATTTATTTGTACACTTTTTCAAAATTAGGGTACCAAACGTAGTCGGATACCCTAATTACCCCAGCCCATTATGTCTCAAAATGACGCAATTTCGTCACGAAACAGCATGCAGCGCTAACAAAAGACACACACACAGACAGACTCTTTCTTTTATTATATGTAGAGATAATAAGTGGAGGGCTTGGGTAACTTACAGTTAACAGTATACAAGATTGTCATAAGAAGGCTTCCCTGATATATGGACCCCTATTGGTCTACCCACTCAACCAATCAAAATAAAATTTCAAGTATTGTTATTTGAAGGTATGCACTCAAGATTCTGATGACTGAAAACAACAGAGCTCTCAAAATTATGATTACAGTGAAAAAATTTTCAAATTTTTTTCGAATGGCAATGTCAACTTTTTTCTTGCACAAACTGATCAGCACATTGAAAAATCACAAATGACACTATAATAATACATGTACAGAAACTCCAAGCATAAAACATTTACAAAGAAGAGCATTGTAAAGGACCAAAGACAACACACGAGAAGAGAGGTGGAAAAAAAACTTTTATTGGAATTACAAGTTGTCACCGTACCTAACTTTGCACATAATAATGCACTGCATGTAGAAGATTCTTGACAATAATCATGAATTAACATCACTGAATGGATAGATAGACCACATTTTATGGCATCTTTCAATTTTGACCTCATCAATTTGATGTGTACACCTTAGATTTCAGATAAAGTGACTCGCGATGGCCATAAAATTGCAAAGTCATGTGCATCATTCCAATACCATTTATGGTTTTTCAACACATTGATCAATTTGCACAGGAAAAAAGTGGTTGTTGCCACTCAAAAATTTCAAAATGTTTTCACAGTAACTATAATCATGAGAGCTCTGTTGTTTAAATCATCACAATCTCTTCAAATAACAATATCTGAAACTTCATTTCAATTTTTCAATTGGTTGGCTGCTCTGGGTTATATATCAAAGAAGAATTTTTTTTTTTTTTTAAACCATCTGTATGTTTATCTTGCTCCATCCAAAATTTGACAGAAACACCTCACATCTAAGCTTCTTCAACCTCCCTTTCCCTACCACTAACCTCTCAAGGGAACTTTTTGCTCAACAGTATTTTAAGCAGATTGCTGTAAAGACACTACATATTTATAAACATACATGCCTTCACTGGCATCCAAACCAGAGCTAATGCTATGGTAGTTAATTCTGCTATCATCACGATTAACATGGTGACATAGTATGGGTATAATTAAATGAATACTCTTTTCAGATGAAGAATTTGAGGTAGAAACCAAAGGAAATATTAGAACAAGTATGATAAAACTATCACAAAATATATATATATATATATATATAAATTTTATTTTATGCACACTAAAGATTTAGAGCAGAAGACAAACAGTGGCTGACAGATACAATACTTAAAATTAAAGTACAGTGAAAGGATCCCTATGATAATAGTTTTAACAGTATACCAAGAATCTGCTGAACTAAGAACTGCTAATGCCCGAAATCTGCACAGATTCTCAAACATCAATAATGAAATGTTTTGGCAATTTTCATCAACAGTATTTCTCATTCAATACTGATGCAGGTTGCCCTAGTCTGTTAATAACTGCTTTTATAGTTATCACAGCACTTATATATTACAGCAATCATCATAATAAAAGTTGAAAAATTTTCAGAGTGCACCAGCCAAACTCTGGCAATGATGTGCATAACATTTCTCCAGATTTAACAAGCAACATTTGTATGCATTATTTTTGTTGCAATCCGAATTCCAAACAATTTTACAGACAAACATTTTTTGGGGGGTAGTCAAACTAATCTTCAAAGCACGCACCCATGAGATTTGCCTACTATGGAATTATGAAGGAAACTACTATGGAAGAAACTGCTGTGAAATCTCTGCAGGAATATAGTACTTTGCCACAAAATCATTAAAGGCAACCACTGCTTTTGAATCTCTTTCTAAAGAGATCTCCACAAAATTTTCACCAGAATAAAAGAAATAAAAAATCAGTTTGTAAGTAAGTAGGTTTATTAATCAATGCAAAATATGACTGTAATAATGTGCATATATGTAATAAAAACTTTTTTTGCAGTCATCATTCTTTTTCTTTTGTAAAATATCACCAAACTGAGCCAAGGTAGTTCAATTAACTGTTACTCTAAAATGATGATGTCTAATGACACTTCTCTACAATAATCACTCCTATAGAAGACCCAAATCACATAGAACTGCAAGTGATCATCTTATAATAAGTTTGGTGTATTTAATAAGTAAAATCTATAATGAACTTTATAACTTGCAACAAAAATTAATTATACAGATACATACCCTTTCCCAAAGATGTTGCACTGATTCTTTCTGCATAAGTTTTAAGGCATCTGCATATAATTCTTCAGCTCGAGAAGCTACTCTTGCTATCACAGTATCTTTCATATTATCTGGAAAAAGGAATAAAAAGAAATTTAGCTGTGCAGCAAATATTTGCTTGGTGTTGTTGCATGCTGTTTAGTTCGACCAGCAAGCTACCTTGCCGGTCTCATGGCACCATCGATAATTGGCGTTGTAAACCAATTCTCCTTTGTCTATGCAATTAGATATGAATGGTGATGTTTCCAGTACAGGGTACTTGTGAAGGTCACATGTTCCTTTTGACTGGTGATTAGCTGAGGACAGAGCTTCTGAACTTTTGAGCCATAGCTTAAAGACCATACAAGTTACACCAAAAATAGTGTTGCTGACACGATCAATAATAGCAATGCCTTTCTAGGGCAGCATATACAGCATTCCAAAAACCTTCTCCCAGCACCTTAATTTGATAGGTGCAATATTTTGATAGACAGCCACAGAGTCATGTGAGTGAGCACATTGAGCCTGTGGGCATGATTGAGAGACCTCAGTCTGTTGGCATGTTGCCGTTTGGTTGCGAGATAGAGTGCGAGCACCTAGTCAGGTGCTGCGATGCAGCTGGTTGGTTTAACATGGTTGCATAATTGTGGGGCTGATGCTGCTGTGATGCAGTTGTTTTTCCCGTACATGAGGGACACCACCAGAGCAGCCAATCACATCTTTGTAGGTTCCCAATGCAGTAGTTGTTTTGTTTAGTGTACTGTTGCCACAGTATTTATAGCTTTGATGGTCTTGTGGCACCATCTGTAACTGGTTTGAAAACCAATTGCTCCTTAGTTTACCCAGTTAGATATTAACGGCAATGTTTGCCAATAGAGGGCACTTGTGAATTTCACTTATTCCTTTTGACTGATGCTTTTTGGCCAAGGACAGAATCATGAAATTCCCAGCCATGGGTTGAAAGCCATATTGGTCACACCAAAAGTAGTTGCTGTTGATATAAGCGATAACAGTGATGCCTTTCTTGGGCAGCTCTCAGAGCACCCTCAAGTTTCAGAGGTAAATCATATTATTCTTCATGCAACATAACTGCAAACATTTTCAAATTCTTCAAAATTCACAAAGTTTACTAATTCCACAGAAATTTTAATTTTATTATTTATAAAAAATGCATTAATTTTTAAAATGATATTTTGATTGGTACTTTCTGACTATTCACTTTCCTCCTGGTTTCAAATACAGTACATTGCTATGTTTTGGGCCCATTTTTAAGTATGCATTTGACAACATACAACCTAAGCATGCTTGTTTCACACACATGTTCGAATATAAATGGATTTACACATTTTAACCCTCATTTTGCTGGATAGTTACCTGTAGGGCTGTAGGGATGTAAACATCAATCACAATGATTTTTGTTCCCTTTCTTAAAAATGCAAATTAAGAATCAGAACCTTTTCTTATTTCTTATAAAATTATTCTTTTTATTATTATTTATGAACAAAATATTACCTAAGAACTTTAAAAAAATCACCAAATAAAAATTCTTCACTCAGTATAGCAAGTTCTAAATGAGTTGTCTAGATGTTGCAGATAATTAGAAAGTACCTTAAATTAATAATAATTAGCCTAGATGGTACACTGGTTAAGGAAGACTACTTGGTACTGAAAGGCCCAGGTTTAAATCCCAAAGAAGACACAGTTGTAACAGTTTGTCCCTTCATAGACCTATTAAGTACATCCACAATAAAATAGCCACCACTTCTGGCCTCAAGAGCTATCAATGCTGAATAGGCAAGTGCCCGCCATTGAATTAAAAATCCTTTGACCCTTCAAGAATTAAGAATTTAGAAATAAGGAACCAACCATTATTAAAGAAATTTGTGAATATAAATTATGCCTCCTTATGAATCATGAATGAAGATTAGACAAGAACACGATAGGCAGAACAAATCAGTTAAATAAGAGATAGACTTTTCATATACAAAAAATTGTGAGAATAAAATTTAGAGGTTATAAAGTTACATGTGAATGTTTGTACAGTAGACCCTTGATTATTCACACTCATTGAAACTTTTTAAAGCTCTTTAAAACTTACGTTTTTTTGGTGCATATGTGTGTGCACATTATTCATATAACATCAAAAACATAAAAAAATGCATTAAAAATACAATTAATTTGAACATCAAATCAAGCTGCCGTTTTGTGTCAAATTAATTGCACACAGCAGACTAGAATGTTCTATATACAGGGCCTATAGCTGTATCATTAGGGGGAAAATATGGTCTAAATTTAAATGCCAAAGTCAAAATAATGTTTACTAAACAAGCTAAGCTAGCCGTCAACAAAAGATACTTATGTATTAACGCAACAACCCTGGTGCAATTTTACAATTTTTTTACAGATGTAAAGTAAAAATTAAGGTACTTTTCCGTTTTGCCGGTGTAAACGATAAAGTCGCCAGTAATGGTACAACTGATGCCAAACAGAATATCTTTGCTGGTAACCTTTTACGCTTCATTTTCAAAACAAGTCACAGCCATTTCACAGATTGATTGTTTTTTTCAATACTGGCATACAATTACATAGAATATTTACAAAGATAATTAAATTTTATACCCTAAGACCATTCGTGGTAATTAAATCAATTAGGATGCAATCACACCGCTCACCCAAAGGCGAAAATATAGAAAAGGCAAAATCAGGGGTTAAATTCATCAATTCTAACGAGAATGCACTAGCGCAATAAAGCACTGCGGTTTTACATAATTTCTGAGTAAGCTATTTGTATGAATTGAAATAATTCTTGCATTTAAACTTGTATTCCAAATTAAGATTTAGCTTGAAATTAATGTAGAAAATTACTGAGAGAATTAGATTTTTGGAACGTAGTTTATGTGAGATGAGATCACTTGAGATCACATGATACGAACCGGTGAATCAGGATGTTGAACCATGATACATAGTAAATTCTTAAATTGTCTTTTTACAAATTTATTGTCTTTATTTATTAGCTTTTTACAAAATTTTAAACCATATTAAAATGTTTATGCCTTCAAAATAAAAAATTCTTAGAACTAACATTAATTTTTATGTGTATACTGTATGTTGTCGCCAACAAAGTCTACTTGGCAAGATTTGCGCCGGCGAAATGGAAGAGTAGCAAAATTACTTTTCAGGTGCAAGTTCACAGTTTTCACAATTTTATTTTTTATTTCATTTATTTATTTATTTATTTATTTATTTTTGAAAAAGACTCCCAAAAGTCAGCAAATGATTACTTTAAGTTAGCAAACATTACTAACGTATGTAAAGAAAATATATTTTAGCAAATTAAAAGGCAAATTTTAATTATAAAATAAGGATTGTATGATACATTAAAAAATAAAACACAATCATCTCCAAATCTTTTTGTACATTTTTTGCACTATTTTTCTCCTCAAGAACACAGCGATCTGCTTTTGCTTAGAGACACGACATCATGCAAACCTTGGCAACGCTGCCTATCTACCAAATGTATCTCTTTGTTGTTCGCTTTAAGAGATTTTGCAGCAAAATTCTCTATTCCAGCAAAAATTTCAGCTCAGTTTCTTCCATTGCTGGCAAATTCCATACACATATGTATTAAAATTAGGTAAAAAAAAATATCACGGTTTGCTTATAAAAACCATAGGAACTCGGATTACAATAAAAGGAACACTTAGGAAAATTGGGACATTGCTTGACTGAAGGTAGGTTAGGGTGAAGGCTTGGCTGAAAGTTATGAGTTGCTTGAAAAATGATTATGTGCATGGTTGCCAGAGTTTGGCATATTGACTAAAAATTTGGCTAAGGTGGTTGTGATAACACTTAAGTATCAATTAAATTGCACACTTCTTAACTAAAATGAAATTGCTGAACAGAAAAAGCAAAATTACATTATTAATAAAACAGAAAACATCTTTTAGCTTTCACATTTTCAAGAAATTAAAAATTATTTTCTTTAAAACCAACATTAGAAATAAAAAATTTTGGAACTTTCTGATTTTCCTTACGAGTTTCAACATTCAGTAAAATATACATTTTTGGCACATTTTTTAATATACATGCAACAATATCATGTACTTTAGGTATGTTTGATTAAACATGGATTTACACACTTTATATATTTAACAGTAATTTCATTGATTAGTGTTTTTTCATCTGCCAAAGAGAGCTTTTCCCTTCATATAATTTTTTATTTCACATAAAATGTTTCTGATTATTACTGTTTATCTGTGAGCCAAAAAGACAGTCAAACCAGTGTTTTCATTAATTCACATTGTTGTCAATGAGCTGGCAACTATAATTTGACACAAGTATTTTGTTATACATTTTAAAATGTAAAAAATAATTGCTGGCAAAACACAATACCATATGGAAAATGGTAAAAAACAATATCATATGCTTGATATATTCTACATACCTATATAGATATATTTTGCATACCTGATGTAGCTTTGAAAAAAAAACTTTCTTGCGCCTGGGCAAGCATGAGGGCTTGGAGAGCAGATATGGTATCTGGTCGTAAATCTGGAGTAGGCTCTTCAATTGCAGGAGATGATGCTAGTGTTTTTAAGTGCTGAAAAGTTCCACTTGCCATCTATAATATTTTGAAAAATTTAAAGCATCTACATCTTTCGAAATTTATTAATTATATATATCTCAAAGGAAAAGTTAATCATGAGTATGAAAAAATAAATAACTCAAAAATGAGGCTACATCTAGGAATAAAGATTTCATATTGATGTTAAAAGCCTCAAATATTTCTAATCAAAGATTCAAAAATGATTTAGAATTTGTTATTATCTCTTCAACCATGTTTACAGCAACAAAACCTGATACAGATTCATGAAACATCTTAAAAAGGTGGAAAAGATATTTTAAAAAATTATTTCCATTTATCAAAATATTTTTTCAGTTGTTATAGGTAAAAATATCAAATAACTCTAACAAATAAAATTGAATACTTTCACAGTTTTCAAAAGATCTTCTGATCTAACTTTTGTTATCAAAATAAGAAATGCATTAGTTTTCAAGCACTTATATTTTTTAAAAATATGATTACAATAAAATACCTCTGAGCACTACTTATACACGATTCCTGTACTTCACACAATATTTAGTACTCTTCTGTTGTTAGGACCGGATTCAGGCTATATGTATATATGTGTGTGTGTGTGTGTGTATGTTTGTATGTGTATGTATGCATGTGCACACAGACATACATATGTACACTGCTCAAAAAAAAAAATGGGACAGTGCTATATCTCCTGTTCTACTGGGGCGATTCACGAAATTCAAATTGCGTTCTTCATGTCTTGAAAGCGCGACTTAGGATATATATTAGATTTATATATAGCACTATTCTAACATAGGTATTCTGACACAAAAATGGACTTTTTCTGAAATAACATACCAATTTTTTTCCATATTTCGATTCTATGACTCAAATTATGCCAGAATACCAAATTTTGTAAAAATCGTACGAGTAGTTTTTAAAATATTAGCTCTCAAAATTTTCGCTCCTCAATGTTAATTGAATTTGGCAAATATTTATTAATATCTCTTTTTTTATTAAACTTTTTTGACTTTTTCTCTCACATTTCGAAATTTAGGTTCATTCCAAATAAAATTTACCCATTTTTTGTTTTTTATTTTTTTTAATTTCTATTTTTAAAATAATTTTTATAAATTTTTCGGAAAAAAATTTGAATTATAACCTATAAAATTTTTACCATCATCTTAAAGTAGGTGTATTTTTAAGCATATCTGCAAAAAATTAGACTTTTTTATTCAAAATTTTCTAAGATATACACGAATTCACATATTTTCGCGTTTTGAAATTTGGCATCTTTTTTTTTTTTTTTTTTTTTTTTTTTTTGAGCGATAATAATGCCAAATGTGGTCTATGAATTTTTGTTACAGTGAATTGCCACAGCTATTTTTAACCTTAAATTTCAAGTAAAATTTTACGGAGAATTAATTATATAACATTTTCCCCCCTCAATGATGCGTAAAAAATATTTATTAATATTATATGAAAAGTTATTTTTTTTAAATTATAGATGATATTATTCAAATTTTTAACTATTTTTTTTAATTTCTCTCTATCTTTTTTTTTTTTTTTTTTTTTTTTTTAAATAAGAGTAAATTTTTGTAAGAGTAAATTTTTACCTTCGGCATTTTATCGTCTGCTACTTCACTTCGTTTAAAGCGAATTGTCTAAAACTTAGAATTTTCGTTTGATGTTTATTTGAATTTTATTAAGTGCATGATTTATTTCTAAACAAACGGTTGCTTTTGAAGTGGCTGAAAGAGCGGCTGATACTATCATCCATATTTTTAAAGCACAGTATATTTTTATAGAAACAAAAGATTTAGAATAATCATTTTTATAGAAGTCAAATTATGATATAAACATACAACCCTCTAGAGACTGAATTAATGCAAGTTCAATGGTTATGTAGAAATGATCTGCAGCTACTTAATGGCTGGATAAGTCAGCAGATTCTGTGGACAAGTAAGAATAATTATATAAACGACACCAACATTCTGGATTCAATTAACAACGAGGATACGATGTTTATTAAATAAATTTAAGAAGTTTTAAAACATAAAAAATCAACTCGTTTTTTTATCCTAAAATGTATTTTTGTGCGTAGCGTATTTTCATTATATCCTTAAAATTCTAATTTAGAATGTAATTGTCAAAAACTGAATCCTAATCATCAGTAATATAATAACTAATTATTACGGTTATTAATAAATCCTTCTTATAAAGTAATTGCAAATATTTCAAAAAAACTTTCTGTCTGAATGCAAACATTTTTCTATGGAAATATTTTTAATTTTATATTAATCAAGATTGCACACCATATTATTTATTTGCACTTCAATTCTTAAAGACAGTTCTAGTAGAAGTTACAAATCAATTATATTTAATTAAGGATTGGATTGGATTATTTAATTATGGCAAAGCACACGAGGGCTGTCTGCCTAAAGGGAGAGATGCCTTCATGGAGGACTTTCTAAGGGAAACTTGCTCGTATACACGTTACACATGGGGAAAACCACGAAAATGCCCATGCGGCCAGCCCGTTCGCGGGATTCGAACCTCGAACCGAACAACCAGTGTTCAGCATCTTTACACTCGGCAGTTGTTGGGCTATTTAATTGAGGAATGACCATCTAAGTTTAGAAACAGCGTACCATAACAATAATTCAATTATTGGCGCCGTATCTTTCATGTTACTCCCGATTGGCAAGCTACATGATTTTTAATGAGTATGTAGGTTTTGCTAGTAACCTCACTTGGAAATCACGCATAAACTAGGTTAGTTGGTTATTTGAACATAGGAGCTATTTGATTAAGATGCTTTCATACAGAACCTTTGTAAAGAGAACCTAGAATACTACAAAAACCAACCATGCAGCCTGGGTTAGACTTCGCAACAAACAATTAGTATTTAACAATCTTCAAATGCTAGGCAACTGATGAGGCTCCAATTAAATCTCCAATTTAATATTTTATTTGTAAATATTTAAAATATTGTTGTATTTTTAGACACAAGAAGCAGAATTTAAGTTTTGTTAACTCGTTAGTAAACTAGCAAGTCGTAGTGCAAATGAATATTCAATTTCTTTTTGCAATAATTGTATTCACTTAATATTCTTGGAATATGAGCTAAAGAAGGAACGTTCTCGGAAAATTAAAGAAGTGTTTAAATCCAGTGATATTAGGTTTGTCTTACTAGCTCAGGATCAAAACGATTCTGCAATTGCCCGAGTAGTTGACTTGTAAATGGCTGCGAATTAAGCAGATGACTTTTAATCTTACGTTTTCAGCCAAAAACGTATTCCAAATGTTTTGTATTGCATGACAATGCATCTTTTCATTATTGAATAACCAGTCGGAGAACTGCTTGTGTTCCGAAAATAAGTATGTGTACTCAATCGTCCTGCATGTTCTTCAAATTTGTCTTCTTGTGATTTTTTTCTTTCCCAAAAACTAAAGTTGCCTCTCAAAGGAAAGTTTTTTGACATTGAAGAGTCAAAAGGAGTATGACATGTACTTTAAGAGGCATGTCAAGAACAGATCTCTACAAGCCTTCTATTCCATTACATGTTATGCAGTCAGGCAAAATGTTGCATCAGCGTAAATTCTATAATCCATTTTTATTACACTCTGATTACTTTATTAACATACAGTGAATATATACTAAATCTTTTACTTCAGCTTAAGTAATTCCGAATTCTTGACGGCATTGTTGGCAGAACTAGGACTTAGAAATAAGTCAAATTAAATATTTCGATAACCCAATAAATTCAAGGTCGAAGTTTCAATATTTGATTTTCGGAGGGAGGGGAAATATTTTCAGTTTTGGTCTATTACCGTAAGTATATTTGCTTTTGCTTCTATTTTTTTATTTTTCCATAAAAGCAAAAAATTTACGCATGGTATACATATAACGCATAGCTTCAAATTAAAATTTAATAATAAACAGAGTAGTTATAATTAAAGTTCCACATTGAAACTGTCATAAAAGGAAAACTACTGGATCAAATGTTATCAAATTTGGTAATCGTGTAAAGGAGGTCATGGGAATTTATTTTCCGCGAAAAAAGGAAGTTCGAAACCTCACCACCAGGCCAAAATGGCGCTGTATACAATATTGCTAAACGAAATATGGGTCGGAATCTAACTTAACCTTTTGTTACACGACTTTAATATGTTGTATACCCTTAAGAAACTTTGAATTAAGCAATATATCATTTAAAGGCGTTAAATTCGATAAACGTCAAGTGCGCCATCCGTGTAATGAGAAATTCGTCCTTGAAAACCACGAATTAGCGATTAGAAAATGTGAGATCGCAAATCACTCGCACATGTGCGTACAATCTGGAAATCATTTTCTGACAGATCGCTAATTTGTAATTTTTTAACCTTGAATTCGGCCCTAAAACATGAAGACACTGACTCAAAATGCTTTTAATCGATTTGGGCCAAAGAAGTCCCTCATGCTATCTACCTAGTTCCATTGCATTCTCCTACTGCATTCAATTGCATAGCAGTCATTCCACACCGTTTAGTGTTGAATGACAGCTAGTTTTATAACTGAACCATTTTTCTCTGAAGAGCAGTCGACAGCTGGACCACTGTGATTGCAGCTCACTTAGAGTCAATGTTAAAATGTTTCGTGATACATGAACTGCAGTAACGTGGCATTTTAGATACTACGATTTTTATGCAGAGCTGGGCCTAACCTCACGTGTGTTGCACAGTTACTTAGGCAACATCTCACGAATGAACGTCTTATAGGCCAACACTTCACCTCTTCCCAACAGACCTCAACGTCTGTGACTTTTGGCTATGGGGTTATCTCAAAAGCACTGTTTATGGTGATAATCTAAACAATTTGGCAGAAATGAAAAATGTGATACACTGACATGTCCGTAACATTCCTCCTGATATGCTAAGAGCTGCTGTTGAGAATGCAGTAACAGGATTTAACTTGCTTTCGGAAAATGCTGGATGCTACATTGAACATGCTTTGTAACACATTGTAACACTCACCCTGGTGGTGAGTTTTTGAACTCTTT